ATGCATATACTCGGACCAAATGTCATATAACTATTAAGTAAAAATAAAGGAATGGAACACTGAGTAGAGTATGTATATCACTGGATATACTATCTGTATAAAAAAGGGAAATACATACATACACATTTGTGTATATATGCACAGACTAATCTCTGTAAGGATGAAAATGAACTGGTAACAGGGTTTAACACTAGAACAAAAACAGGGTGGCCAGGCAGTGGAGACAGAAGACTTACTTTCTTACCCTGTCCAATTCTGTGGAGCTAAATTTTGTATCATATACATGTACTTTCCATTTCAAATAACTTAAATAGGATAAAATAATTAGAGAGCTTATCTATTGAAAGGAAAACATTTTTTAGGTATACACAGTTCAGTGAATTAACAAAATAATTGACCAGGTGCCGTGGCTCATGCCTGTAATCTCAGCACTTTGGGAGGCTGAGGCAGGCAGATCACTTGAGATCAGGAATCCAAGACCACCCTGACCAACATAGTGAAACCCCTGTCTCTACTAAAAATACACAACATTAGGTGGGCATGGTGGCATGTACCTGTAGTCCCAGCTATTCAGGAGGCTGAAGCACAAGAATTGCTTCAACTCAGGAGGCAGAGTCTGCAGTAAGCTGAGATCAATCACACCACTGTACTCCAGCCTGAGTGACAGAGTAAGATGCTATCTCCAAAAAAAAAGAATTAAAATGCTCTGCTGTGCATATGATTTATTATGATAAAGACTTAAACATTCCTCCAATCATTTCTTGGGCAATTCTAAATGCCAGCCTCTATGCAATTCTGTAAAGAAATAAGTTATTTTAATACTTTATAATAAATAATAATTTCTACAACTAATTTATAATCATTAACTTTATTAATGAAAGCAGTATAAATAACTGCGAAAACATAATGGTTATGAACCTAGAAAGGCCTGAATTTAAATCCAGGATCCTAGACTTTGTATATGCGTGGTTCTCAGCTAATTGATTAATTTGTCTGAACACTAATTTCCCTCTTAAGAGCAGAGGTCAGCAAACTATGGCCTCAAGGCAAATTACATCCTGCCACCCATTTCTTGTAAATAAACCTTTCTTGGAACAACCCATGCCTATTTGCCTACATGTCATCTATGGTTGCTTTCTGAATATAATGTGAAACTTGACTAGTTTTGACAGAGCCCATGTGTCCCCAAAAGCCAAACATACTTATTATCTGGTCCTTTACAATAAAAGTTCACCTGCCCCTGCCTAAAAGTAAAATGCATAAAACCACATCTACTGTGTAATTTTCTAAGAATATAAAATCTCAAGATCTGTATCTTAGGGCAAAATAAATAAATAAATAAATAAATAAATAAAGACTAAAAAAGGCTTAAAGAATATAAAACTCCACTCCAAGCAGGCATCAGGTCAAAACTATTTCAGAATGACATCAAGACATTATTTATCTTTTTCACTCTTTCTCCAAGTGTACAATAACGTTTTCCAGAGTCTACATGACTCATGATGTCAAAAGACTACAACACAGCTGTATTCACTTAAGCCAGATATTAAAGACATTTGCAAAAACAGTACTGTTATTCTTACATTTTGTTTTAAAACACTGTTATTTTAGATAAAATATAATCATTTATGTTAACATGTAGTGGGTTTATTATTATTATTTTAAAAGTCAGACATAACTTTTCTCAGTTTTATTTGTTGGTGATGGTGATGGTGGGTTTTTCTGAGACATGGTCTCACTCTGTCACCCAGACTGACATGCAGTGGTATAATTATAGTTCACTGCAGCCTCAACCTCCAAAGTTCAACCAGTCCTCCCACCTCAGCCTCCCAAGTAGCAGGGAATACTGGCACATGCCCCATGCCCAGCTAACATTCTTTTACCTTTTGTAGAGATGGGAGGTCTCACTATATTGCTCAGGCTGGTCTCAAACTCCTAGGCTCAAAGGATCCTCTTGCCTTCTTAGCCTCCCAAAGGGCTTGGATGATGAGCATGAGCTGCAGCACCCAGCCTTTTTCTCCATATTACTATTATTATTATTATTATTATTATTTAGGACAGGGTCTCTGTCACCCAGGCTGGAGTGCAGTGGCATGATCACAGCTCACTGCAGCCTTGACCTCCTGGGCTCAAGTGATTCTCCTGCCTTAGCCCTTCAAGTAGCTGGGACTACAAGTGTATACCGCCACACCCAGCTAGTATTTGTATTTTTTAAATTTTTTTTAGAGACAGGGTTTTACCATGTCAAGTAGGATGGTCTCAACTCCAAGGCTCAAGCTATCCACCAGTCTCAACCTTCCAAAGCGCCTCCATTTTAATATTTTATATTTAAATATTAAAAATAATTAGTATTGTATATTTAAATATTGATAAATATAATCCGCATAAAGAAAAGCACCTTGGAGTTGTCAATGTTGTTACCAGGTGTTCTGAGATCCAAAAGTTATAGAATATGCTATGCCAAGCCTGTCCAACCTGTAAACTTTGGCCCACATGCAGCCCAGAACAGCTTTGAATAAAGCCCAACACAATTTTGTAAACTTGCTTAAAACATTGTAAGGATTTTCTGATTTTTTTTTTTTTTGCTCATATAACTTGAGTGCATCACAGTGGCATGATCGATTAGTCAACGAGAACAGATGGGCCCGGGTGGCTGACCTTCTATTTACATACTTCGCAGGGTTTGGATGAACAGAGCAGAGAACATACTTGGACAATCAGTGACTCTACCACCATCCAGCATGCAGTTTAAAAGAAAAATCTGACAATTCTAATTAGAAGTTCTCCAGGATACTTAAGAAATTTTATTCAAAAGTTTCAAATAAGGTGAAAGGAGGACAGCCTGTTCTTTCAATGCCATACAGGGAGAAAGGCACAACTGAGGATCATCTAGCCCTTACGTTTCCAAACTATGTACTAGAGCACCCCAGGTCTAACACTCCAGCAAATTCACAGGGTACTGTAGAACATTTCACAGTTTTTAGGAAAACAAAGCAACATCTGTTAGAGAACATGCAAACCACTAGCTCAAGTCCAGTTTCAATATCAGACTGTACTACCTTACCTTCAATAAAGTCAAATATTTTTGAAACTGGTTTTTCAGTGGTGGCTGTGATACAAGGTAAAATCAACGCAGACAGGAAACAAGAGTAGTGATTTCCAGCCTGACTCTTTGGTTTGAGTTGTACAGTGCTCAACAGGCGTACACATCCTGTTAAAGAGCAACTGCAGCTATTTAAGAGTAAATTTTATTGTTTTATTGCAGTATGTGCATTATTTGTTGAAAGAGTTACTAAGTTATCAGTACATAAACACTTACTATTTGGACTTAGAAACTAGAACTGTTAGGTAATTCTATGACCTAGAAATACCAGGAAAGAGAGAAAAAAATGACAGGGCACTAAGGACATTATAAAAACAATAAAGTTGAGGAACTTCGGATTTAAGGGAACATACTCTGCACAACCCACATTTCATTATTTTTTAAAGGTCACAAATTTGGTGAAGTTTTGCGTTAACTTGTAGATTTGTACCCAGTAGAAACAGTTTCTGTCCTGACAAACAAAGAGACCCTATTATTGCCTGCAGTCAAGACATTAACCACTTTGGAAACTAACGTAGCAATCTTATCGTTATATTCTTTTATAACTTTCCTATAAAGTCCTAACTAGTCTAATGTTCCTTAAGCTGCTTTTAATATCACACCTGTTCCCTCACTAATTAATGAGTTACAAAAATGTCTGGCAATTATTTGTTTTATATTTGCATTAGGATCCTAATTTTGTCTTTCTGTAAACTGTATTTTAGAATGCTGAGGTCCTTTTCCAGCGTATCTAGAAATAATTATTTTTAAAAGTCAAACTGTAAAGATTTCACTAATTACTAAGTACTTTGGAGGAATATATATAGTATAAAAAAGATTCTATGTGCTAGAATATAATTCAACTATCTTATAAGTCTGTGTTATTTTCTACATTTCTAACATTTAATAAATATATTCAGGCGGGGCACAGTGGCACACGCTTATAATGCCAGCACTTTAGAAGGCCAACGCACTTGAGTTCAGGAGTTCGAGATCAGCCTGAGAAACATAATGAGCCCCTGTCTTTATAAAAAATACAAACTACAAAAATTAGCCAGGCATGGTGGAACATGCCTGTAGTCCATGCTTCTCTGGTGATTGAGGTGGGAGGATCATCTGAGCCCAGGAAGTTGAGGCTGCAGTGAGCTGTGATCCTGCCACTGCACTCCAGCATGGGCAGCAGAATGAGACCCTGTCTCAAAAAAATAATAAACATATCCCATCCTTTTATAATCAGAAAAATACACAATAGACTTGTTTAAATGTTTGGGATGATCTATGAACACATTCTTTTTTAAAAAGTACTATTAATGAAAGTTTTTAAAAAAATGAATGACTGAGTGATATAGAATTAAATTCCCTCCAAAGAAACATGTTAGTACTATTCATTAAATAGAAGGCTAAGGACAAAAGAATAAATGCCAATATTTGTATAATTAGTTACTTCTAATGCCAGACTATACCAGTAAACTAAAAATACAGATAATTTATTTTACTCTCAATCTTCCACTTATTCTTCCTAGTATTTTTTTACTGCATGTCAAACATTCTTATCTAGATCACTCTTTTCATCTCAAGCTACAGAAATGACAAATTTGCCTAAGAAGGGAAAAAAAGGGGGAAAACTTTCACTTTTGGGGATATACTTATGAGGAACAGGTGAGGAGGAAGCAAAGTCAAAAGCAAGTAAATCTATCTCTAGATGTGTTGAATCATGTCCATCCAAATGAGAAAAAAATTCTAGAAGTATTGGTGGTTTGTAAGAAACTTGCTTCTTTTCCTCATTTAATAACTGACTCTGGATCCACTTCTGTCCAGTTTGCTTTTCACCTAGGCTGCCTCCTTTTGTATTCAGGGTTGCTCTCTCATCTTACTATTAAAGACCCTTGGCTCAGTACTACTTAGAACTTCCTCTTGTATGCCTCGGAAGCATATAAACTAAAATTGGAACCACATAGAGAAGATTAACATGGCCCCTGCGCAACGATGACATGCAAATTCATGAAGCAATCCACATTTTTTAAATTATAAAAAGAAAAAATAAAAAAGAACTCCATACTATGTGTGAAATACTGAAAATGGACTTCCATACTTGTAGTGAGTCCTAATAGTCAAAAGGCCTCTTTACAACTACATATGAATATAAGACCAAAACCAAACCTATGAAAATATTTGGTCTAAGGGAGGAAATGGGTATGGAAGTACCATCCACTTTTAATGAATGATTTATATAACAAAGAACGTTAATATATGTAAACAACATCAAATGATTTGGAAGAAGAATAATAAAAAGTTACATATATACTAATTCATCCCTGAATTAGGATCATTTAATTTTTGACAAGTTGATAGGTTTGATTCATAAAACTGCAATGAGGTACTATGAGAACCTAGGAAAAGTTTATGAAACAGGCTTTTAAAGATTTGTCTAGTCATTCATTCATTTACATTTATTACTCATTTAATCTTGTGCAGGCCAGGAAGTGGTGGCTCATATCTGTAATCCCAGCACTTTGGGAAGTCAAGGCAGGTGGATCACTTGAGTCCAGAAGTTCAAGACGAGCCTGGCCACCCGGCGCAACTGTCTCTACTAAAAATACAAAAATTAGCTGAGCATGGTGGTGCATGCCTATAATCCCAGCTGAGGCATAAGGATCACTTGAACCTGGGATGGAGGGTGCAGTGAGCCAAAATAACATCACTGCACTCCTGCCTGAGAGACAGAGCAAGACTCTGTCTCACAAAAATACAAAAACAATAAAACCTGCACAACAAAGTGGATGTCATCATTATTACTTTTAGCTTCATTCCTACTCAGGGTTTAGAAAAGCAAAGCACAGGACCAGAAACATAGCATATGGTGAGTAGACCAGTTTGATTACGAACACTAAGAGCTTAATTCAAATGGGATTTGTAATAAAGTCCTAAACTTCTGTCATTTATTTTCAGAGGAGCAGGCTATTGGTTGGTAAATTCAGGTCCATCAGGAAAACTCGTAATAATGCATATGTTCATCACTTTCCTGAAAACAATGCATGTACAAAAATTCATAATTCTTAAGCTAAAAATTTAGAATTCTGAGTATTTATCGTGTGGGTCAGGCCAACTGGCCCCTGTTCCTCTGCCTTCCTGTACCTGGCATCACTCTAGCCTCAGCTACAACTTGGTCCCTCAGTACCTTCAGCTGCTTCTGAAAATGTCTGACTTGTTCAAAAGAGTTATGGGTGACACTGCATTCCTCCTCAGTTAAAGGACATTAAATATGCAGGATGCCAATGTCTCAAATGAAGGCTACACAATGATGTACCCAGAACAATTAAAAAAGCTCTGTAACATGAAGTGCTTGAGTTTGAGAGCAAGTCAAAGCACAAATACAGAACTCTTGGTTCTGCGGCATCTACAGAGCATACTTGTACTTCAAACATTTAGCCGTGTTTAAACCTACCAGTGTAATATTCCTCAATGGAAGAATTCTCTAGTTTAAAATCTACTTAATGATTTTATCAATTTTTACTGGGTATTTTTAGCACCATGTGTTTCTAAGGGTTAGGGAAAAGGGCAGGCCTTTCCACTATTAAAGTGTCCTGTGGTAACTTACCTTTTTGTACTCACAAAACATGCTTGAAATGATTAAGAAATAATGCAAGACAGTACATATTCATTCTACTAATTTAGCAAACTCATGTGTTCAAGTCAGTACTATATGCTTTCAGAGAATGGGTAAATGGAGGGCTGCAGGTAAAGTTGAAAACATAAAAGTACATATAATCACAATTTTTCTATTTTCACATACTGTTGTTAAAAGATATCATAATGTCTTGTTTCCTTTACTAAGGAATTCTAGTTGAGTGTGATGTTTCTTTTCAATCATGAAATTAAAGCCCAAAAATATTACTCATTCAAGAATACAACAAATCATTAGCAGAAAAAAGTTATTTGAAAGAAGTGAACTATTTTCAGATATAAAGCTTAAATTCTAAAATACAAAAATTAGCCAGGTGTGGTGGCATGCACTTGTAATCCCAGTTACTTAGGAGGCTGAGCAGGGCAACTACTTAAACCCAGGAGGTGGAGGCTGCAGTGAGCCAAGATAAGCCATTGCACTCCAGCCTAAGTGACAGAGCAAGACTCTGTCACCCCCCCACAAAAAAAAAGGAAGAAGAAGAAGAAATAGAGGTGGGGAGCTGACATATTACACTGAAACAATTATGTTTTAAATCACTATGACAAATCCCAAAATTTACAAGCCAACAAACAGCCCAATTTCATTTTACTAGAAAGTACTTCCTATGTATGTAGTCATTTTTTTAAATCTCAGTTAACGTGTGAATACTTTTAGCCAATTGTCTTCCATTATATATACTATGATGTCCCTTTATTTTGCTACAATCTCAATACCAGTTAACACTAAATAAACAATACTACTCAATTTCAGGAGTACATAATCATATCTCAAATGGTTGCCTAACAATATTCCCTCTAGGGTCCTCTGTGTGCAAATTCCTACTTTATATATGAAGCACATTTAAGATCTCAAAATGTGTTGGGGCTATTTCTACTATAAGAATTGCAATTCACAATCCAACATGACGGGACAAAGTTCAACAGTACTGTAGCCTTTCTATTAAAAAATACTCATACCAAAATAAGCAACATAAACAGCCCAATTGCTCAAACTTGAACAAACCACTCAGTAATGAGTAACACTGATAAATAACCACACAAAACCAATAATTAGAAGAATCAAAGACCTTAACCCAATTATAAAATATAGTTTAAAGAATCACCTTTTAACATCAGGATAAGAATGGTGAAGAGACTATTTCTATTTCAATGACATAATTCAATTTTTGTTTTATGTTACTCTTTTCAAACCTCATTTTCCATTTTGATCCTAGCACACACTAAATAGATTTACAAAGGAGAAGTATGTCCCATTCAGTTCAACCCAACCTATGACACCTTTCATGCTGGGAATTATAGATCCTAAGTAGAATAAAAGGTAAAATCATGATGTACACTGGGAACTAAAATAAATGATTCTGTATTAAAGACTGAATTTAGAAATAGTGTAGGAATGGAGAAAGGAGGAAGAAGACTAAATTCTCATCTTCTATAGTACGAATTCAAGAGAAAACTAAAATAAAACACACAAACACACACAACATTAAGAACAGCAGTATAAACACGCTATTGATAAATTTAGAGGTAAAATGCTAAAAGAAATGTTACCTCAAGGGAGCAACTCAAAGAAGAGAGACAAAATTTAACTTGAATTGCCAGGGAAGACAGAGAAGGTGGGAGAGAAAGAACATGAACAAAGAGAAAATTAGTTTAGACTATGCTAGAATTGTGAAGGGCAACTCTGGTGGGATAAAATGGCTTCTGCTGGGGAGCAGAAATGCCAGATGATGCTTGGGCAATCCCTACACAACTGACACCACATTATGTTCTTCTACTGAAGAGTGTTTCACCAAAAGCAGTCTAACACAAGGATATACAAGGGCAAAGTGATTCAACACAAAAGAAACAACAAGGAAGAGACATAGGTAGAAGACTACAGCAACAGACTGGATGTTCTATCAAGAAGGCGGCTCTACGGTTTCTGGAAAAATTCTGTATTTTATCTTAGCACTCAGTTTTCCATGATATTCTTTAACCATAAATATCAAACTATTATACTTCAATCTTATACAACTATTAATAAAATCCTAAATGACGAATGGAAGCCACACTTAATCGACAAGTTCTCAGAGACAGGTCTAGTAATTGCTACAAACCATATTAAAAGCTCTATTTTTATAATATCCTTTAACACTCCACAACAGTCACACTGTCATCATATACATTATGCATTTTCAAAATTTTTTCCTCTGACTCCATAAAAGGATAACAACAGAACCACAATGCTAGTAAACACCATATTTTCAAATTCATACCAAAATGATGGTGATTTCAAACATTTAGCAAAGACTACCTCTTTAAAATTAAAAAATCGCTCAGGTCAATATCTTAGGGGTAATATCATTATACAATATGACATTTCTTATACTGCCATTATTTAGAAAGATTTATAGGAGAAATACCTACTTTATTCAATCCAAATTGTGTATATAAAAACTGATGCATAAATGTTTGACTGGCAAGCTTCCTCTAGTACAAGAAATAACCAAAATCATTAAAAAATCCTTAATTTTTTCTAAATATTAATACTACCAACTTCACTACAAATGGCAAACTGCCACCATTACATGATAACCAGATGTTAGGTTTTGTGTTAGCTACTTTATTTCTGCTGTTTTATTCATCTACAAAAAAGGCGAGCTTAAGCTGAGTAATTTTAATATAACTTATTTATATAATCTTTTTCTTAACATTTTAAATTATTTCCTTAAATTAATGAGGAAAAAATGTTAGAAAAAAATGTGTAAAATCAAGCAAAAGCAACAATCTGAACTGTATTCGTAACCATCTTTTCAAAAATGAATATTCTTATCTAAAGAGAGAAATGTTCTGAATTCTAATTCTAATCTATAATGCTTTCCCCCCTGCTGCCAAGTTGCTACACAGATGCCACAGTCAGAAAATTTTACCAAGCGTGATCACACTTTTCAAAGAAAGGATCCCATTTAGTGACAGCACACTATGACTCAAATAGGCAGCCATGCCTCAATCGCCTCCAATTCTCTTACAATCTTATCACCTGCCTTTCAGCCTTGTTGTTTGGTCACCTCCCAGACCTTACTTCCTCTTATTGGCCTATCTCATTTCTCATCATCCTACCTTATTCTCCAAAAAAAAGTTCATAGGGATGTTAAGAAACATTTGTATAGAGCACAAAAAAGTGCACCAGGAAAAGGTTTTATATAAACGTTAACTCAACCTCTCTAGTATCTTTAAAAAAAAAACAAAAAAAAACAAGGTATAGGTCAGGCACGGTAATCCTAGCACTTTGGGAGCCGGAGGTGGGCTGATCATGATCCTCAGGATCACCTGAGGTCAGGAGTTTGAGACCAGCCTG